GTATGCATTAGCAGCGTCGTCAGTTGAGACAGTATGTATTTGCGAAAGCCATTAATGAAACGAGAAGCAGAACGGCCTGTCAACCGACAGCGATACTGCGGAAAAATAAAAAAAATACATCACCCACCCTTTCGAGCCGCCGAAACGACTCCACGGTTGATTGACACTTGAGTTTGTCCTCCGCCATAAGAACGTAGTAAGAGTGAGCAGCACGAGCTCGTCCCTAAATAAATAAAAGGAAGAAAAGAATGTATTCAGACAAAAAGAACAATAACAGTCATAATCCAAGGGCAGTGTACATTGAGAAAGGCAGCACGGATCGGGGTATGTGTGTGGTATATAAACTTTAATAAATACGTGTTTTCAGCAATTCTTCATCAGGCCAGTACATTTTCAAAATTCAAATAAATAAACTACTTTGGAGTAGATAGTAACAAATTTATCATTACCATATAAAGTAAAGGCCCGACGAGAATTTATGGAAAACAAACGTATGTTCGCCAATTTATCTTGTGCACAACGTTAGCCGTAGGTATGAGGGTTGGCTTCGTGTGACAGTGCATCCCTGATCGGTCGCACGTTGTGTTTCACGTACAGTGGGGCTGTTGTATGAGGTAGGTTTTTGAATTTGAGCTGCCACACTTATTTGCCTTCCATTCACGTGAGAATTTCGCTATTGTTTACTACACTGCCTATTTCGAATTAGATATCCCGATCTCTGCTCTGTACTTTGTTATTTTCTAAACTATGATCACGACGTCATCTGTACAGTACGCTAACACCTTTTTGAATGAATTTTAATTTTCCCCGATGGCAGTCTATAACGCCAGCTGCTACACTTTCCGTCCATATTGTTTATGTGATTTTTTCACGTTCACTTTAGCATGCTCTCCCCAACGAAAGTCTATACAGCGGAAAAACACCGCTGCGGTTGGCAGAATGCCCTCAAACGACAATCAAAAAAATAAACTGTCTACGCCAGGATTTCTGTCGACAAACGATCGTCGTTCAATCTTCAAAAAAGACACAATATATTGAGTTACGTTTGTTGAAAAAAGAACACAATAAGACTGGAGTTATCTGTCTTAAGGGGACTTGGTCGAATAGCGATATTGGATCACAAAGTATTGTACCTACGTGTTTTTACTGCTTTCGTACGGACCGAAAATGCTTATGAAGCAGTTGAATTGGTGGAGTGGCAGTTTTTGTAAACCAACAATTGTGCACGCACTGTAAGTCCTTATTTACTTACTCAGATGAGTTTATTGACGCTAGTACTGTCACCTGGAAGCTCCAACTGTTAAGAAATTTTAGAGGCCTTATTTATGCTAGTACCTACATTCCGCCCCCGATATGCCAAGGTGTTTTAGTCCGCTTTTTTCATTTTCTTTCCATTAAAATTACCGTACTGTCTTGCGAACATCTTCTTATTTTATGTGGTGATTTGAACAGTGTGAAACTATGTCCCCTTACACTGCTACAATTTGACGTTATTATTTCCTTGAACACTCGCACTGCGCCCATCTTCATCCTATTCCAAGTAACTACCCTAAGCCCTTTGTTGTAAAACAAAAAACAGAGTTCCGTTGTCAGGCTCTGACCATTTTGTGTTAATAGGCCCCTCAACTATCTACTCCAGCTCTAAGCGTGCACTGCTAGCAAAACCCAAGAGGAAAATTAAGGTGCGCGGCACTTTCCCATAAAATATTCCCTTGTGTCAGACTTGCCTTCTTTGAACATTTGAACGTCGAATCGCGCCCTAGATACCGAACAACTTTTTCTAATGAAAATTTCACTAACCACTGTCCATTTGATACCGTTACGGTCAGACCTAACATAATTTCCTTTTCCTGCCTAAAATTGTTAAGATGCAAAAGGGAACTCCTTTACAAACTAAATAAAACAAGACGCTAGCATCCTTATGGAGAGGGATATTTGCAAGCTGAAAGACCTGCTGGTTATTCAGCTTTTCGTTTCTTATTCTACGTCTTCATTTCCCCACTCCGCGGCTGAATTCGGGAGGCATCTTAAGTGTCTCAGTGGCCAAAGCAACACACCGGCACATGCTGATGCTCATTTAGACGGTTTAAAGGTCAATTTTACCATCGCTCCCACTGACGCGTATCGCCAGTCAAACCACATGCCTCTATTACGAATTGTCTTTTCTCATGAGTCTGTAGCAATAGCGATGAAACACCTTAAAAAGGTTCGATTTTCAGTAGCTGCCGGGCTAGATGGTGTCTCACCGTCTCCCCTAGAATCTTGCTGTTTTCAGCTAGCCCCCTACCTTGATGCATCTTATCAACCTGACCTTCATGGGTTCCAAGATTCCGGATGGTTGGCGTTCAGTAGAAGTCACTTACATCCCCACAAAACATTGAATTCTAGTCGCAAATCATTTCTTCCAATTGTCTGCTCTTCTGCACTACTAAGACATGCGGAAGGAATTGTTTAAGGCATAATCACGACACTCTCCCCTCCATTTTTTTGCTTCCCTGAAATTTGCATATAAGGTCAGGCGTGGTGCCCAAGATACTGTTGCTCTCGTCGTCAATTCTGCGCGGAGATTTAGATAATGGTTGCAATCTATTTTCACTGCTCCTCAACCACGCCATCTCCTCCTCCTTAATAAAACGTCTGCATGCGGCTTTCTCGGCTGGGTTTGGAGACTGTAGCTGTAGCTAGTTTTGATACTGAACGTAACACACAGACACACGGGGAATAAAAACCGCAAGAAAAACAATAGCGTCAAATGAGTAAATCTGACCTGTGACTGGATGAAAGACCGAAAGTTGGTAACTGGATCGACTTTGATGACCACATTGCACGCGCGGACGTCCAGACCCTCCTCGATGACATTGGTAGCCACCAGGACGTTGAAGGCATTCTTGCGAAAGCCATCCAGTACACCCAACTGTTCTCCTGTGGACATGGATGCCTTGAAAGAGACAACATATTTAGACAAGTGAGGATACGCAAAGAAGGAAGAGTTGCCAATGGAATACGCGGAGAAACTTGAAATGAATCGACATATAGACATGGTCTTCCACAATATATTAAATCTGTCAACTGAAGCGATAGCTCGGAACTTGTGACTTATAACAAAGCTGGAAGGGTTCTCTCTTAATCTGGCGTTGGGGTAGAAATAAACCGATGCAATTTCGAAAATAAGTGAAGTTTGGTTTGTTCAAACTGAGACGAATGTTTGTAGGGAATTTTGGAAATTTATACTTGATGCGGTCCCGATGATGTCACGCATTGCACCTCTCCACGCGTGACAGTTTGAGGCAGTGGATCTGGACAGCTCCACGCATTCTCTTCTTCAACGACGAAGACCGTAAGTCCTAGAACTACTTCCATGTGCTGACGAACTGTGTCGAGCCAGGTCTTGAGTTGACCTCTTCTTCGACGCCTCTAGGTAGGCAGCAGCCCAGATCGAAGGCAGTACAACTGAGCTCGTGAGGGGCATGAGGGAGAACGTGACCAAACCGCCTCAGATATCCTTGCGACATTGCCTTAGCGAGTGCGGACAGTCTCATTTGAAACGAGGTCGGTCTACATCACTCAAAAGACGGTCCTCGGACAGCAGTGGTCAAGGACCTCCAGTCTCCGCTCATCTTCCATACACAACCGTATAGAACTGACCGGACACACGGGTCTTCGTGACAAGGAGGAATATGTCACGTCAGGCCCACAGACGCCTTCGAAGGATTTAGGAAAACTGGCGAGCAGCATCGATTCACAAGACAATTTCGCCCTTACTCCAGCAATTCGCGAACAGTCATGCCCGAAGATACTCCGACAGTACCCACCTCCAATCTCTTTAGCAATGCGGTCAGGGAGCCATGTAAACCCTCCGTCAGTCATTGCCTCCCAAATTCACAATTAGGAGTTTCGAAAACGGGATGCGCTGCTTGGTTGGGCCTATCTAAGTGCCCAGCGGGCACATGGTAAGAACTTTGTAAAACACTGAGGCAGGGATCAATAGAGGGGTTCTAAAAGGGTGAACATGTTAACTAACCGCTTACTTACAAATGTTAAGTAGGTTGTATTTTCCACAACCTGCTACTTTTCCGCACGCCGGCTGTTGGTCCAGTAAGGATTGGATGTTGATAATGAACTGTAGAGGGGTTCTCGGAACGCCACCATGTACCATAAAAACTTAAGTCAGCTCATTAAGTCAAATGGTCTCTCAAATTAACCATGAGTATAACCGCTTACTTACAAATTTTAAGTACGGTGAATTTCCACAATCTTCCAACTTTCCCACTCGTTTACCACTATTCTAGTTGGGATTAACGATACTATCAAAAAATTACCTCAGTGACCTCGCCAAAGGTCAGCGAACACCCCCCCGACATACACGCGTTCGCTGCTAGTCTAGTAGGGGTTAGCGATGATATTAAAATGTACCCCAGTGTCCTCGCCCGAAGTCAGCGCACATCCCCCAACTTACCCGCGTAACTTTTTTTTTTAATTTACATGATTATTGCGCACTGGATTGCTCCCCGATACGCCTCACCCATTCTACCCCCTAAATCC